AGCAAAGACGTAGGCAGCTAAATGTAAATTACCCAAAAAAAAGAAGAAGAAGAAAGTACAGGATATAGCAGGTAAAACAAGTAAAGCCGGTGACAGTACGGCACATGACGGGTCCCATGGCAGTTGGGAAGCATTAAGTTTGCTTTCTCTGTCTTACTGATCACACTCTCTCTCTCTAACAACCTCTGGATTTTAAAATTCTCTTTGTCTCTCCAAATTCTTTTATTGATCCTCAAAAAAAAAAAAAAAAAACTGAAAACACTCAGTTTGGATAGCATTTTAATTGACTAAGGTAATGAAATGCTTGTATTTGCATTTAAACTTGTGCTGTCTGGTTTCTTAGCTCACCCCCATGAAGCTTCTCTCTTCCTTTCCCTAATGCTCTCTCTTTTGTGATCTCAGTTTCTTCTATCCAAATTTAGCCATGTTCATTTCGATTAAAAAATTGCTTTTTAACGGTAGTAGTATTGTCTCACACACGCTCTTTTTAGAACCAAATTATGTAGAGCTACAGAGTTTTTAAGCAACGAGGAGTTCCGTCTTCCTTTTTATTTTTGCCTGCTTGAAAAGAAGGAAAGATAAATGACATATAATGAAGTTTTTTTTTTATTGTTTTTTTTTTATCGTTAGCTTAAGGTGATTTCCAAGTTTGATTTTTTTTTTTTTACTTTCTTTTATTTTCTCAGGTACACTTCAAATTCTTCAAAGGGCCACTCTGCTTCACTATTAGCTGAATTATGTTCTTTTTTTTTTTTTGGTCTGTATACTGTGCTTAAATCTGGTTGAGTAAGATTGTTTACATTTGATTTAACTTTGATTCTTCTAAATTAGTTAAATATTGATTCAAGCTGATGTAATAGGTACTTTATAAGACTGTTTGGAATCAATTCTTTGTAGAATTGAGTTGATTTCTAAGTAACAGATTTGATTTGATTAAAGAATTCTTATGTTTGGAATGACATCTTTTGGGTGATAGCATTCTTTTAAATTATGAAATATAAAATTTATACCACATTAACCTTCTGATAAAGAAAAAGATTGATTGCTTTTAGGAGAGAGAGATCAGATTGGTTTACAGATCGTTTATGCAAAATTTAGGATTTTGGGCTATTTATTGTTAGTTTTAACTTGGTTAAAATTCTGGGTTTTGATCAAGAATATTTGCGAGTGAGAAGATGTTTGGGACTGAGCTGTGTTCTTCTAGGATTCTTTCACCTTTCAGAGAGGAAAGTGGTGATGAAGAGCTGTCTGTGCTTCCTAGGCACACTAAAGTCGTTGTGACTGGAAATAATAGAACAAAGTCTGTGTTGGTTGGTTTACAAGGCGTGGTCAAGAAGGCTCTTGGTCTTGGTGGTTGGCATTGGTTGGTATATTTGCTTCTTCCTTTACCTTTTTCCCATTCACCTTTTCTATTCCTAATTAGTCTTTCATGTATAAGTATTGTCCACTAATTCAATGTTAATTTGATCTGGTTTTATTTTCGTTTCAATCATGGATATTTGAGCTTATTATTCACTAGTGCAGCGATCAATAAGATTTTAATTTTTGGCTGTTGAAAAGGATATATTATTTTTGGTTTGTCTCTGTTTTATTCTTGTATGCAAATTTATCTGTTTTTAATTTCTTAAACCAAAGGATCAAATGGCAGAAAAAGACCATGCTTATCATTTTTTTCGCTCATCTTATTTTTTCGTGTCCTTAATTTTTTTTACCAAATTTAATCGTGGTCTAGATTTGTGAAGTTATATCTCTTATCCAACTCTTCCATGCTTGGTTTTATTTTCCTTTTTTGAGAATCCGTGTTTGGTTTTGTGCTTTCCTTATTTGAGGCAGGGTATGCTTTACCAAATTTAATCGTGGTCTGGATTTGTGAAGTTATATCTCTTATCCAACTCTTCCATGCTTGGTTTTATTTTCCTTTTTTGAGAATCCGTGTTTGGTTTTGTGCTTTCCTTATTTGAGGCAGGGCATGCTAATGGTACATTAATAAATTTCGTTTATAGGTTTAAATATCAATTCCCCTCTTACAAAAAAGTAGTCTAGATCTTAATTCTTCTGCAGAAAGTACAAAACTTGATCTTATTCCTCGGTGAAACCTCCCATGTCTGATGTCAGTAAACACTTGTTATAAACGCTCTTCAGGCACTAGCATAAGTCGCTGTTATGACACAGCTGCTGAATTTTGAATAGTGATATGCTGTCTCTGTCTAGTATTTTAACCTCATCATTTACTTTTTGTGGTTCAAATTTATTAAAGAGTATAGGTTTTGAGTTCACATATTCTGGAGCGCACAAGGCCTGTTCGGAGATTTGATTTGATTTTTTACTTTTGAATTTCTCCAAGAAAGTTCTCTTTAACTATAAAATTGTTTTTCTTTTTAAGTTAGTAAATTTGTATGATTTGGTTTTGGAAGTTATAACTTCAAACACACCTTTTGAACTGGTTACAAAAAGCACACTCAGATTTATTATATTATCTCGTGGCTGTGTTTTCTAAACCACGTTGAGTTTTCTTAATTACATGAGATTTTAAATATTGTCTAGGAAGGTAAAATGATGATTGATGGTTTTGTAATTTTTGGGATGCCCTATTCTTCTGATGTATTTCTAGTGAGGCCTTTGCAATCTTTCCTTTTAGTTACTATTGTCTGGGGATTATCCTTCTATTTCTATATTGAGCTCTGCTGTATTTTCTGTATTCTGTATCCATTGTGGTTTATGTGACGCATACTTATAAGTCTCAAATGCTTGGATGGTCAAGGTTTTGAAAAATGGATCTGAAGTTAAGCTTCAAAGGAATGCATTGAGTGTGCTGGAACATCCTACGGGGAATGAAGTGGATGATGATAACGATTATGATACCAGCAGCGGCTCTGACATTGATGAACATGATTTCTGTATGCCTCTGATAAACCAAGTCTAGTTTGATGTCACTTTCGTTGGTGGTTATTTGAAACTTGTATCTTCTCTGATATTGTTTTCCCTTGGGCAGATAGAGGCAGCGGGCTCCAAAAAATTAGCAAGCCAAGGGTTAGACCAACCAGGCCATGGGTTCCATCTGCACCTGCAAAGTCAACAAGTGAGAGCAGTAACAGAGATGTTCAACCTATTATTCACATGCCTGTGCTGGTAAGAGATATTTGAACCACTTCATTGAATTGCTTGCCATGTTTAATTTTGTGGCATCGTTCATCAACCATTATGCACAAAGATTTACAGCTTTGCAAAAACTGCTATTAACTTTTGTTGATGCTTTAGACGGTGAACTTGGCAAGACTGGGAACTGAATCATTGCGGAGATATTGCAAGGAATTCAAACTTGTGAGTCTTATTATCCTACGTGATTCTTTCTATCAACCACTAGAATTCCTAGAAATTCTTTTAACTCAGGGTTCTGCTATTAGCTGGGTGTCAACTCTCAGTCATCAAGGGAACAGATGCTTAATGCTGCACAAATTCATTTTCTTTCACAGGTTTGCCTCTCAACTCGCTCTGTCCTTGCATCTCCTCCTCTTGCCCATAAATTTAGCATTTTTTTATTGATGCAGCGACCATTGGATGAGACGCAAGAGGTTGCAGAATTCACCCGTGTGGCAAAGAGACTGAAAGAGAAGGACAAACCATCTGAGTGAGAAATCTGGATGTACAAGGCCTTGTATAATATAATAACCCTAACCTTTAGTTCAGATCCTAATTATATATTGTCATGGAAAACCAAATTCTTCCTCCCCTGAATTCTAACCATGTAATGCCGGCAGATCCCCTAGTTAGATGTTTCGTAGTCTATTAGTTAGAATCTCTTGCCTTGGTTAATTATATATATAATGTGGATTTGTGGAGCAGAAATTGGAAACCACGATCACTGGTACTTGGAATGGATTATGATTTTGCATTGTCTCTGATCGTTGATCCTCAAAGTAGTTGTTAAATCAAGTGTCAAGTTGCAAGAAATTTTGAATTTCAGGTTTGAAATTAAATCATGAATGCTTATTGTGAGCAACTGGATTTTATTTGAACTATAGTTCTGTAAAATCTTAGCTATGGAAGGGTGATTATAGAAGAATAGACAAGTTTTGTTTCACATATTTTACTATTAACCCCTACAATGTTATTATCGTTTTGTCATTCCCACAAAAAAAATTAAATGTCTTGGTGTTTGGGTGGGGTATTTCAGGGTTTTTTTTTATTTTTTAATGACCATAGTAATTAAAAAATTAATTGAGGATATAAGTGTTTTTTTAAAATATTACTTATTTTTTAAAAAAATTATTTTTGATATTAACATAATATAAAAACAAAAAAAAAAACCTATTTTTAAACAAAAAACAAAAATCTAAATTCAGGTGATTGAAAATGACAGGACCTAATGAGCTGAGTAATTGGGCAGTTTCCTGTCACCCTAAACATGGATGATTTAGATGAAGTTTATCGAAAAGCTTTAAGCAGCTCTTTTCTTGGATAAAAAACACAGATAAAAAATGTCTTTTATTTTTTTTTAAATATAAATTTCATTTTAAAATTATTATAAAAATAAATTTATTTTATATTTTTAATTTTCTGTCCCTATATATATATATATATATATATATATATATATTGTTTTATTTCTAGACAATAACCAAATGATACATTAAAATGCTCTACAATAATTATCAATACTTACTCTAGTTATTCACTTCTTAAAAAATAGATAATAAAATAAAAACTTATATTTATTTCGTTCAATTCTTTTTTTCTCTCGTCTCTTTTTATGTCTATTTTTTTTTTCTCATAAAGTAAGTATTGGTGATTATATCTGTAGCACTTTAAATTTTTTGGAAGATTTTTAAAAGCGTGCGTTAATGAAATAAGTTTACATATAAATTAATAGATCAAATCAATTTATTTTATCTGTCCCTGTTACTATTTTGGCTTCGAATCCCCCCATAAAAGAAACTTCACGTTACATATATCAATGGCTGTCCTCATCTTTTTATTTTTAAGGTGAGGATATTCTCGTTTCTATATTTATATTTAATGTTTTTGAACTAGAGAGAATGCGATGACCACAGATTAAAGAGCACTATCCATGAAGAAAAGTTATATCTGATCATACATTAACAGTTCCACAAGGCTTGGAGCACCAACCATTTACGATTTCATAAATGTCCAGGTTAGTAATAACATATTTATAAATAGATCCTAAAAACAGAAACGACTTCTGCAGTCCCATCATCCATCTCTCCTACGTTTTTTCCCTTTTGTTTTCGATCCTTTTTTTCTGATTTAGTAGAGCATATATTCTTCAGAGGGCGGTTTCCAATTCACCGGAAACCGCTCTTCATATCGAATTTTGTTTCACTCTAAGTAAATCTAACGTTGTTTCTCTCTGAATGACAAACCGTTCTTCATAAAAGGCTGAATACTTTTTTATCAGCAGGAACCTTTTCATTCCTATTTTAACCATAATCAAAAGCTGCAAAAGAGATGGCTGCAACTAACCGGTTTTCATCTCTTCAAAAGCCTTGTAAATGGGTGAAGGGTAAAGTTATTGGATCTGGGGCACATGGAACTGTTCATTTAGCCATCAATAAGGTCACTGGTGAACTTTTTGTGGCAAAAAGTGCACTTTCTGGGGCTGATAGTAAATATTTAGAGCATGAGGCTGACATTCTTGAGAGCTTGGATTCGCCTTATATGATTCGGTGTATGGGGAAGGGCTGGCAAAAAGGGTCAGATGGTGATGCTGAACTTAATGTTTTCATAGAGTATATGGCTGGAGGGAGCCTGTCAGATATGGCTGAGAAATTTGGTGGGGCACTAGAAGAGGAAGTAATTCGTTTATATACCAAACAGATACTTAATGGTTTGAAGTATCTTCATGAAAATGGGATCGTTCATTGTGATCTCAAGTGCAAGAATGTGCTCCTAGGCTTGTCAGGAAACATTAAGTTAGCAGATTTCGGATGTGCTAAGAGGCTGAAAGACCTGGATAGAAATGGAAAGTTCGCCTATTCCTGGCAATCTGTAGGGGGGACCCCATTGTGGATGGCCCCTGAAGTTTTAAGAGAGGAAGGCTTGGATTTTGCTTCAGATATTTGGTCCTTGGGATGCGCAGTTATTGAAATGGCAACTGGGAGGCCTCCTTGGGGTTATAAGGCATCGAATCCAATGGCGGTTGTATTGAAGATCGCATGTAGCAACGAGAGGCCTAATTTTCCAGTTCATTTCTCTGAAGAAGGGATGGATTTCTTGGCTAAATGTCTCGAGAGGAATCCCGAGAGTAGGTGGACAGCAGAAGAATTGCTGGATCACCCTTTTATTACAGGAAATTCGCAGAAGAAATACGTATGCTCTCCTGCAAGTGTTCTGGACAATATTGGAACTTACAAGGAGGATTATGATTCAGATGAATCAGGGAATCCTGATAAACACCTGCGTTGGAATCCTTTTTCGATGAGGAATTGCGGAAAACCAAAAATAATAGCAATGAGGCAGCATGCTGACAATGATTTTGTATCCTCGGGAGATTGGATTACTGTTAGATCAGGTTGAAAGAAATGTGATTTAATTTCTGATCCATGTCTTGTAAGATATTCAGAACTAGGAAGATGTACATGTAAGAATAAAATACATTGGCTGTACATTACTTACTTATCTTTCTTTTACAGATCTTGTCTAAAATCAAATCGTATGATACTACTACTCTTAGCACTCTATTTTATGCTTTTAGCAGATGGAAATTCATCCATCCGTGAAACAAAACATACAGGGTTACGTATTCCTGCTGATATCTAGATTCTGAAATATTCATTTTGAAGGCTTGCCCCATATTTGAGGTTGAAGATGATAAAAAAAACTGTTCTTTCCTGGTTTATCAAAATCCCTCGTTTCGACACGCACAATGCAGTTGACTGCAACCAATGTAATAGTTATGGAAAAGGAAAACCTTGTTTTTTTCTTCTCTTTTTCAAGGACTAAAAATCTGATCTAATGCTAATTTGGCAGACATGGGAACATCAGCATTTAGATGGCTATTAGCTTGCAGGAAAAACTTGGTTTCTTTTCATCTGTGTTTAGCTAATCAGCAAAGTCCAGCAGTTGAGATTTCAACAATCTTCGCTTGCAATTTTAGATTAAGGTTGTGGGAGACTTCCAACGTCACGTAATCTAAAGTCCATTAAACCTTCGATCAAGCCCATATAGGTTAAATAATTATCTACAAATCCCATATGATTAAGTGTGATGCATTTTTAAATCTATAATTTAAACAAAACACACATTACACGACAAAAAGCAATATATAGGTTAAATATTTTATTGCCTAAGTTTAAGTTCAAGATGCTATTGAACTTAAGACTAATTTTAACGTATAAAGTGAGAATCCATGATTATATTACAAGTAAGTCAAAATGATTTATATGTAAACAAAGGATTGTCAGATTCTCACGAAAGAGAAAATTCAAAGAAGTTGAAGAACGAGAGTTGCACCTAACTATTTGGTTTTCGAAGATGTGAAATGTGAAAGAGAAATACAAAAGGCATTTTAATTGGTAAGGCGTCCAAAAATCAAAGCGAGTAGAGTTCCACACCGTTTACCAAGAGCGTTAGACCAAATCCCACCATCAACCTCTATTTTTTCTTATTCTACGCAATTAATTATATAATGACTTAAAAAAATGATATTCTCCCGTATAAACAGGTTAATGATACTAAGTATTTATTTATTTATTTTAAATTTATTTTAAAAAGATAATAATGTGCTTGTTTTTCAGTGAAAGTCGTTCTCGGACGCGAAAGTACAGCCCCTCTTCCTCCCTGCCAAAAAAGAAAATCATTTCCGTAAACCCGTTGGCTTGCCTCAAGACAAGCCACCGTAATTCCAATTCATAAACTTCTCTTTTTCAATCCAGTGATTCAGGTAAACTGCCTGAGCTCAAAGAGCTACAGATTGTGTGAATCAAATACTTTCTGATTCGGTGATTTTGATTTTGTTTAGGGTTTTGGAGAATATTATTGTTAAGTTATTTGTTACTATTATTATTGCGATGTCTGTATTTGTTGATTGTGGAAAACAGTGTTGGTGATTGGAGGATAAAGGGAGAAGAGAATCATACGATGATGATGAAGCAGTGGAGGAGATAGAAAATATTATGGGAGGTTGTTGCTGTGGTTCCGCTAAAGGAGCTGCTGATCAATTTAATAACGCACCGCCTTTTTATTATGTTAGTTCAATATCCATCCCTTGCCTTTCCTTCATTTTTGTCAAATTGAAAACTGATGCCGATGCTATGGGTTAAGTAGGCTACTCGTAGCGAATAACTGGTTAACTGTTGCTGTTAAGGTTCAATTTGCGTAGGATATTAGATAATTAATGAGATATCGTTAGGGATGTCATTTGCTTTTAATCTTCAGGAAATTACGTTATTAATTTATTGGAATTGACTGTTCTTGTTGTGCTTCATGTGAGATCGGTTATAGATAGATATTCATGTTGCTGATTGTCAATTGGATAGTACTTGCCAGATTTTGCTTGTATACTAGACTCAGTTCCAGGTTTACTATTTTCTTATATTGATCGCAACTCGTTTACTCTGCAGTACCCCAGAACACCAGAAGAGCAAGTCTCATTGTCATCACACCATGCACCGGGGTCTGTCCTCCAATCCACCGGGCTTTTGGTTGATACAAACCTGGACACGTCAGTGCCTGATGCCTATATTCCACCTCCTGCACCTATCCCATTTGATGCGGCTGTAGGACGTCCTCAAACCCCGGGAAGGTTGAGAGAGGTTCCTGGTGACAAGAACCATGGAGCTTTGCAGACCACAACTTCCGCTTCTGGACAAGAAAACACTGCCTTGAATACTCGGGAAACTTTGGCTAAGTGTGAAGATGCGAAGGACTTAGACTGCAAAGTGCAAATCAATTCAGAACCTGGTTCGGCGAAGGAGTTAGAAATTGAGCTTTCAAAGCCAGTTGAGCCTCTTGTTTCAGCAACAGAGGAGGAGGAGGAGGATTGTCCTATCTGTCTGGAAGGTATAATGCCCTTACTAAATTCTTTCTTTAATCATATGCTTGTGGCTTATGGCAGTGAAATTGCTTCTACTATTTGGCTGTTTTAGCTGCACCCTACTTTCTCTTGTGCAGAGTATGATTTAGAGAATCCAAAACTTACCACAAAATGCGAGCATCACTTTCATCTTTCGTGCATTCTTGAATGGATGGAAAGAAGTGAAAGTTGTCCTGTTTGCGACAAGGTTTGCCCAACTATATTTTGATCATTTGTTTTTATGGGATTTTCTTAATATGCATGATATCCACATGGTTCCTTGTTTTTTTTTTTCACATTGCAGGAAATGATATTTGACCCTCCTATTGATTAGTAGCTGTGCAGAAAATTTGTTGAAGGTCAACTTTTCTTAGCTGTTTCATATCAAGTTTGCAAAGCAGAAGTTACAAATGCACAAGAGTTTTTAGTTTTTCTTTTCTGTGCCCGCTATTTGGTGGTTGCCATAGATTTGGCTGTAGCTATTTCCTTTTCTTTTCTTTGAAGAGTCGGTCCTTCCTTGAATGCCATGTTGTTGCATCCTCTCTTTGTCAAACCTTAAAAATCTTAAAGGAAATGAGGGTGAAAAAAAGTTTGGGGCGGTGAGGAAGAAGATGAGAAGAGAGGATAGAGGCTGTCCAACACCCTACTGATGTCCATCACTTGGTGGTTATAATAGAACAGCAGGTGGGCTCTTTCTTTCCTTCTCCTTCTCCTTGTCCTGGTATAGCTTTACTGCAATTCATGCTCTGAAATACTCATAGCAGTTGCGCTTTCCTTTTCCTTCTACCAATTAAAATGGTCTGTAAATCGTACATAGTTGTTTTTGTCTTAAGTTCATCTGTTTGTGAGTTTGATTGATAGTGGGGGAATTGATCGGTGTGAGGAAAGTTGGGGAAGGATCAAAAGAAGGGCCTTTTGTTTAGATGATTCATGTAAATAACACGTAGTCTAATATACACTTCAAGGTTTGATTTTGTCTATTCGCTGATCAATCATTTTTTAGTCCTAGGTTTTGTGCTGATTACTATTGTTCTGACTGTTTCAAGAGGGTGTATCTATACAAACTTTACTCGTATTCATTGGCTGATTGAGATTAGCAACAGGATCTGCTAGTTTTTATGGATACTGGAACTTGTGATGATGGTGCAGGTCACTTGTGGGTACAGGTAAAGTTAAGAGCATGTTTCTAATAGTGAAGCCAGAAGTACTTGCCCTTCAGAAAATTTATGTTAGGTTTTCTAGTTTAATTTTGTTTAGTCATCAAATGGTTGTGAATCTACCACGATTTTAACTTAATTTTGATTTTTACTCTATTTAAATCCTAGCATTGAATTTTGCTTCTTCTTCTTTTTCATCGTTTAGAATCAACTAGGCCGCCGCCTTTCTATCTAACGCATTATGCTTTCTTTCTAATCAAGAAGAAACGGAAAGTTTACTGTATTGTTAGCTGGCGAAATGGTGTGAATATTCTTGTAGATGCGTTGGAAAGCAACCTTCATGATATGCTTTCGGACGTTTTTCTTTTTGATGGTATACACTTTCTGGGTTTTTTCCCCTTAAATAGTACTGCTGGCAAAAATAGTTTGTAATATAGTTCGGTAAGTTGCAATTCAATTGATTAAAACTCTCTAAAATGTGTTTTTGATGGTCTTGGATATGCCATCACTCTCCATGCAATCTTTCAGGGTTTTTACCTCCATTAATTTTGACATGTTAATTTTGCAATAGATACATGTTTTTGTATCTCTAGTTTTTGAACCTTTTTTTTATCAAGTGGGAATTTCTGTATATGAAAAATTAGAAAAATAATATAGTTTGGTAAGTTGCGCAATCAAGTTTTGTCATTCCCAATAGTATAATTCAATTGGTCAAAATCCTTTTAAATGTGTCTTTAAAAGTCTCCCGGGATTGTTACCTCCATTAATTTACAGGTTAATTTAACAATTGATCTATGCATGTCTTCTATTCCTTTCTTTCCCTTTATACATGAACATATTTTGTTATCCAACCACTTATTTTAATTATAATTATTCAACAACACAAAACAAAACAAGTAAATATTATCATAATTATAAAACTCAATTTAGAAGTTGACTTAGAGCAAGGATAAGGTCACAAATTAAAAATCAAATTGAGATGATCTTAAATTTTTTTAAATGATCAAAATGATATTATTTCAATAAAAATTTTTTTTAAAAAAATCGACAGAATAAGAGTCAATTTTGACTAGGACCTTGAGTTGATCAGGTCACAAGTTAACGTGATTTTTAACTAGATTAGATTAAACCATTCCTATTTTTTCTTCTACCAAACTAGTCCAAGCTCCTAATCGGTTAAATCTTGGGGTAACTAGTTGAAATGATTTTCAAGTTTTATAACTAAGACTAACTAGAATTGTTAGGCTCTGATATTAACTAACACAATCAAAAAATAACACAAGAAAAATAATAAATACAAGAACACAAGTTTTTTGTTTTCAAAAAGGTCTTCATATAAAATTTTTATTTTGAAATTTTATTACTATATATTTTCTCAAAGTAATCTACCGAAACATAAATTAAATAGCTCTAAAAAAGATATTAACAAATAATTATAGTTATTATTCAATTTTTTAAAATAAATAGAAAAACTTTCATTGATTTCAAAATAACAATAAGACACACAAAAAAGGAGCATTTCCTTTTT